TCCTCCCCCTCCGCGCTCCCCAATCCCGATGTCTTACCCCATCCTTCCACCTTCCTTCCACAGGTCTCAGCAGCTATCCATCGAACAAACAGTGAGTTAGCCAGTGAGATAACCGGCCTCCCAGAGGACTCAGCGTTTTCTCATCCGTCAAGTCTCGGGCCAGACTCACGCGTGTCAGGATGACCGCCCACACGTGCTGTGCCTTCACGTGGGAGGGACTTGGTCCCGCCCCCCCCCCCAAGACAGACTGGAGAACAGCGACTGGACAACAGCGACTGGACAACAGCGACTGGACTACAGCGACTGGACAACAGCAACTGGACAACAGCGACTGGACAACAGCAACTGCTGGACGCGGTGCCTACCTTCTTAGAATTTCTTTTAGGAAGAGTTTTACGACATTTGTAACAAATACAATTAGGTCCAATAAGTGAGGGAAGGGAGAGAGGGCAAGGTGAAAATTATACCCAAATAAACAACTAAGAGAAAGTGGACTTTTTAAAAACAGTATGCAATTAGGATAACCCCGAGACGTCCTTATAATCAGTTTTCCCCCTTGAAAAATGTACCCGATATCACTTATCCGATCTTATCACGACGCCACGATATGTATATATTCATTCAGGACACATTTCCGATCAATATACACTTTATTTCATGCCAAAAACTTCAACTGTTCAAAAGGTATAACCGTTTGAATGATGTAAGGTAGGGAAAATCGTACAATGGAGAAAAGAGTGTTTGCAGTCAAATGATGGCAACTTGTGTGATTTAGGGTAGAACCCAGAAAATATAACATTATTATAAACGTCTTTGTACACTGATTTCGCAAATATTTTTACTTGAAATTGACACACAAGTCGCATTAGTTTGATTTTCCGGCATACCCGATTTCTGTCTGATGACTCCTTATTGGCCCTTTTCAAGATATCAAGTAATTTGGGTGTCAGTGAAATATCTTTAAAGATATCCTGAAATTCTTATCTGGTGATCTGTAAAGCACACATACTTTTTTTTTAAAGCAGCGCTACTTTCACTCGGTCCTGATAACATTACATTTGTCTGGAAGATAGGACCTGCGCAAGGAGGTTATATAAAGTAAGGTCCTTGAACCTGCGCCATTGTAGGTAAAAATAGCGATAGGGTAGAAAATTTGAAACGCCCCACTTTCCTCGTTTCATTATGATACTATTCAATAGCCAAGTCAAAGCGTCCCCCCTCCCCTTTTTCTCTCTCTCCCCCCCCCCCTCCTCTCTCTCTCTCTCTTTGTTTCTCCCTCACTCTCTCAATGCACGTGAAAAAGATAGTGTTTCCTTGTGCATTGCTTTGCTCACCGCATTACCCCATGACAGCGGAACATTATACTCAACAAGAGCGTGCCTGTCCAGCTATCAACATAACCCCCTCCCCACACACACATACACAACCGTGCCAGATACACAACCCCTCCCCATCCCTCTTCTTCAGCAGATTGCGTGAGGGACGTTTTTAGCAACCCGAAAATCCTCTTTGGCCTGAGATATGAGTAATGAGCGATGTTGAGAATAAAAGGGTGGGTTTTGCTTTCTTTTAAAGACTTTTTAAAAAGGAAAAATAGACGGGAGGGGACGGGGGGGGGGGGGGGGGG